AAAGAAGACTGTAAGTCAAGACTGTTCGCGCAAGCGCAAACTAACGGCTCCGGACTGGTGGTTTCACAGCTTCACTTTCAAGCGAACCAAAATTAATGTTTCCCTACCTCATATTTAGTGATATTTTAAAATAAATTTCAATAATCCTGTAAGAAAATTGGTTTTAAATGGACTTTTGTCTTTGGTCCAGATGATCAACATTTGCAAAATTCAGGCTCTGTGGGTTTCGTGTATGAGAATGTAGAAAAAAAGTGATAATGGTTGAGGCCGGCATCCTTTTCTCTTGATTCTGTACATATTTTTTGCTCAATTTCACAAAGTATGCATTCTCACGTTGACGATGGCTGTCACGGAGGGACAGACGAAAGCGTAGCACAAGTTCATCTGATCGTGGAACAGTGAGCCAAGGACTTTTCCGCATAATCCAACAGCCAAACGTCTTTCGGTTTGGTGCTGACCATTTCACGAATTCCTTCCAAATGTCACATGAACAGGATTGTTGGTATTTAATAAGAGGCTAGACAGTGTTGGTGTGTACGATACAGAGTTGGGTTGCGAAGGGTCGCTCGGTTTGTAAGTGTTGTGTTGCTCACTTTTGCTTCGAGTGCAAGCGGGCGGAAGTGGAGGAGAGCCGAGAAGGTAGATCCCACCCGAAGACGACGGCAAGGGCGAATCGACGAGCCTTTCGATGCTACCGCTTCTCCTCACGAGCACACTTTCCATGCGTGTTAGTTCACTCTTCCTTTCTCTTGCACACACACAAAAAGGTCAGCAACACAATCAGACGTGCATCCAACAACATTACGCAATCGTTGTGATGCTTTAGACAAACATAAAAATAGCTCTCTACACCCTCACGACCAAAGACAGATTTTACATTCTCTTTTACACACACACACACACACACACACATGCGTCTAGACTGACGCATGAGTTAAACTGACCCACTTGCTTTGCAACTCACCGAAATGCATGGATTTGGGGCATATTTAAGAAAACCGCTTTTAGAGATGGACAGATGAGTTTTCTTGGCCAGTTTACTCGAATATGCTTGTGAGATTGGTACCTGACTCGGTTGATGGCCGTCAGTTGACAGACGAAAAGTTGTACCAACCAAGAATAAATGTTGTTGTTGTTGTTGTTGTGGGAGGTGGGAGGTGGGAGAGCTGCGCTGGCAGACGACTGTTGACAAGCTGCCTTCGACCAAGTCGCCGTGACAACAAGACCAAGTTGCCAAAACGAGGTCAACCCAATGGTGTAGGTGGAAAGGAGACGGCGAGAACGTCGAGGAAGACAACAGCTTGGTCTTCATCTCTTCCAATGACGACGTTGAGTTGATGCTCTTTTTGGTAACATTGTCGCGGCGACGAGGAGACGTTGTGGAGCATCTCCACGCCCGAATGCTCTGCCCGAGTTGTCATGACGCTTTGCAGCGTCAGACCGGCGACTCGGTGCTTTGGCAGACTTTGCTGCGTATTAACTCTGCGCTGATGCTGGTGCCTGAAGAAGACTGCGATACCGTCTTTGTTTTCGACTTTGTCTTTTTCTTCTTCGTATTCGTCTTCGTCTTCATATTCGTCTTCATCTTCGTCTTCATCTCCGTCTTCTTCTTCGCCTTCTTCTTCTTTTTCGTCTTCATGTTCGTCTTCTTCCTCGTCTTCTTCTTCTTCTCCGTCTTCGTCTTTTTCTTTTTCTTTTTCTTCTTTTACGTGTTCGTGTTCGTGTTCTTCTTCATCTTCATCTCCGTCTTCTTCTTCTTCTTCTTCTTCTTCTTCTCCTTCTCCGTCTTCGTCTTAGTCTTCTTCTTCGCTTTCATATTCGTCTTCTTCTTTTTCGTCTTCTTCTTTTTCTTCATCTTTGTCTTCG